TTCTAATACATTGTGCATGATAAGCGGTCTCATCATTCGTTATCATGGCGATAAATAAAGATAAGAGGGTACCAAGCACTTAGTAGATATAACAGTCAGGTCACACTTGTCTTAAAATAGTAGGGCAATTTAGATTCTGTGACGCACGACACAGAGGATATATTAGTTTAAATAATGTTTTATTTTGTTGTTCTAGGATTAGCTAGGGTGTTTGTTTTGTGTTATTGAATACGTTCTACAGTTTTACTCGTTTATCGATGCATTTCGGATTTCTCTGCATCCAGAATGCAGTTCGGAGTGCGCCTGGGCTTTGTGAAATTCTTCTTAGGATTACTTCTCTTATGGATAATACAGCAGTTAGTAGAAAAGAAAAGGTCTTTGAGAGCAAAATGGAGGTCACGTACTAGATTTTTAAGTAATCTTAGTCAATTGTATGCTCAATATCTGCATCTGAGAATCGGTGTGGCTAATATGATGATGATGATGAATTCCTTTCATTCCAGTCATATTTTTGGACAGTCTTAAGCAACTTAGTTCCAATCCTAGATTTTTTGGGATATGACTATACCCTGCATAAACCGTTGCAAGACTTACCAGGATCTGCAGCATATACAACCATGAAAACATTGAAGACTGATGCGTTCCAGGGACATGATAGTTTCTTGGATCCCCCGAAAGAGATCCTCTCTCTTTACACGAGACTGCGTATGTTTCAGCATTTTTTCTCAGTGTAGTCGCAGTCATAGGGAATTTTGGCTGTCTAGACGTGTAAAAGTGCTGTTTTATGGCCTTTTTCCAAAAACTAGCTCTTTGTCTATTAGTTTCACACAGAGATGAGGAGTAAAACAAAAGGAAAAAGGAGAAGAACGAAATTATTTTGTCATATCTCGATAAATTTGATCCAGGAATGGTATGGTTTCCTGTCAATGGAACTAATCCTTTTGGCGTCCTTAAGACTTTACGCAAGATGGTATATTTTTCAAAACCACTCTAACTCAGACATTAAACACTCCTGCTTACCCCACTAACACGTCTTTGTTTTCGATCGTTGTATTGCATAGAGTTTTACTCTGATAAACCAGTATTATGATTAATGTATTTTTTATCTTAAGAGACCTAATTTTAGCTTTGTTATGACGCGCGTTTCTAGTACATTAGCGCTTGGTATACGAAAATGGGCTCTATTGCGTATAAATAAAAACGATGTCTGTGTTACAGGTGGTTTACTCTTTAAGAACTGGTGTTTATTGACAATGATATCTTGCTTGCTTACAATTATAAGATTTTCCTAAAGTACTGCAAAACCCTGTGTTATCTCGACAATCTCCATAATGTCACTACTTCTGACCTTCCTATTTGGTTTCGTAGGATCTGACTAAACGACGTTAGGTAGATACCGAGTAGCGGTGTTTCTGACAAACCTGAAAAGTATCCAAGCTTACCCGCCTAGTACATTGTGAGATCCACTCGAAGGACACGGTGGAGCATGGGGTGGCGGTGTGCCCTGCTTGGGCTGAGCACCACCGTGTCGCTAAGGAACTGATCGGCGACAGCCTTAGCCGAGGCCACGGAGCGGAGCGAAAGGAACTGGAGCGCTATCTCCTCTTTCTGCGAAGCAGTGAGTGAAGAAGTATACCGCTCACGCTTCAGCCCAGTAAGTCTCGCAAAGAAGGGTGGCGAGCGCTTAAACTGTCCTCCTCAGACTGCAGCCGCTGTAGGAGGTATCCCGACCTGGAGCAGAAGAAGGAACGGGATGGGTTTTAGTCAGTAAGAGTCTGATGCTTCCTCTCGCCTTACTTGGAAGAGAGAAGTAATTTGATAATCAAAAAAATCATTTAGTCAGAAATCGGTAACATAATTTAATGCCTTAACAAAAAAACTCGGACAAAGAATGCCTACGTATTGTGTTGTAGGTACAGTCAGAAACAAATTTATTTGTAAGGAATTTGATTTAGTTAGAGTTACGATCTATGCGGAATTCCGTGAATGTATTGGAAGAAAGATTGAGACATTCTTTTCTTTATTGCGAGCTTGTTTAGGATTCTGTACGTAACTGTACTTTCTATATTATTTGCTTCCAACTTTGATGAACTGTGAACGAATGTGTTTCATGTTTTCTATGTTTTTTTAAACATTGCCCCCCCAATCTAAGATTTTCTCCTGTTTCGTGGGTACGTTCAAAAAAGCCATTGGAATCGATGAATTGAAAATTTTATAGATGACATTAACATTACTTTTCCCATAAAATGAGTAGCGCTGTATTACGTCGTGAGGATCTGAGATTTCAATCCTCCCCTTATCGCCAATTTCTAAGTCCCCTAATCCTCAAACCCTAAACACTGAAAATGCAGGCAACGCATTTGTAAGTCCTTCAGTGCTGCGAGTGTCCATTGGCGTTGTCGATTGCTTACCATCAGGTGATTCGTATGTTCGTTTGCCGATCTATACCACAAAAAATGGCAGGCAAAGCAAACAATAAAACAGGAGATTGCCAGATCTCCTGTGTTATTTCAGTAAATAACACAATTCCTGCAACATAATGACTGAATGTTTAAATATTTGAATAAGAAGATGACCTAACAAGCAATCTACATTTAAAACAACCAAACAAACATGGTAAGAAAACCTCTTACTGAGTCAGCGTACCTAACACACGTATAACTAGCCACCACTACTTAATGGATGTTGTTATACATACAAATATTCCTTTACATTCACTCTATCTTTTAAATACCTCATCAAAATTCGTTATGCGATAGTTTAGTACCTATCTATTTATATTTTTTCAATTAAATATGTTGTTCTTTGTGATAAAAGGCTAACGAGCAGTCGTATCACTTGTTGGCAAGAAATTAGCACCGTCGTCGATGGACACTGGCAATATCAGAAGGGGTACGAGTACTCTGCCGGGGTTTACTTTAAGGGTTTTTAGATTATGGGGATTAGAGATGGAGAAAATGTGGGATGCTTTGATAGAGAGGAACTTTTTCTATACTATATTGAAATTTAGACATACCAGGTACCGAAAGTAGCAACTTACTACCAATATTTCAACAAACCAAAACATATTTTAACCAAAGACGATGAAATGAAAACATACACTGTTTTCCCTTTGATGTAGGTAAGTGGTACGGATTGACGTATTCAAACGGTACAGTGTTGCCATAATAACAGTCTAAACAAAGACCGTACCATTGAGATGTGACGAAATTCATATTTCGTACGGCGAATCGAAAATAATCGACGTGACGTCATCTTATAAATAACTCTCAGCGTATGAGTTCATCAGATCTGATGTTGCATTGAGATTGAGATGATATTCAAGTATTTTCTTATTAAAAGGACATAATAATACAGTATTACACTTTTTTTCGGGTTGGGAGAGTTGTTAGTGGTAATTGGGTGTTATGATTTTTTTATATTATATATGTAAGTATCGTATGAATAATTTGTTGCGCGACGCGGCGCTTGACGATTCGTTGGTTGTGCTGTGCTGGTTATTGATCGTGATTATGAGCTCTACCGTGGCTTGAAACCAGTCCAGTTACATCGTTTAATAGTTATATATGGAATATAAGTAAAATTTATTTTGATTTTGGTATAAGGTTGTTTTGTAGTGAATACATATTATTTTTAATTTTCCTCGTGTGGTTTAGCTGGTTTCCTATACATCAAAAATAGTTAAATAAAAGGATATGTTATACGCTATTATTAGAGTAAAAGCTTTGTAGGCAGTTCTTCAGTTTTGGAAGTGAAGTGCATTGCAGTGACGTCATATCAAGTGCTAAGCCATGTGCTGGTGATACGGTGAAAATATTGATACGGCATCAACCGTGTTGTACATATTATTATGAAGTGATATTAAAGCTTATGTATTGTACGTAATTATAATTATGATTTTATAAGTAAAAAGGTGTAGATAGGTTACAAGCGCTCAGCAAGCGATATAGCGAATTAAAATGCGGCTAACTAGCCACACTTTTTCATATTTGTCTCTTTTTCACTCACGGATATTGAATCATGCCATCCCACTTCAACGTGTATCATACGATTTATTCATGTGTGCGTAAGTGTGCCGTTTTTGGAAATCGAATGTTGTTTATGTAACCTATCTATACCATTTTACTTATAATTTTTACTTATAATATAATTAATTGTACGTATAAAAGTTATAATTGGATATAAACAATGGAACCACGTTTTAATTTTACACAGAACTTGGTTGGAAAAGTCAGCCAATGACTTTTCGCGCCCTAGGCAAGGCTCATACTGACTTGAATGAATAGACTCACGGTTGGCGCGGTGGCTGGGCAACTGGCTGTCGAGGAACGTGTCGCGGGTTGGATTCCCGCGCGGAACAATTATTTGTGTGATCTACATATTGTAGTTCCTAGTCTGAGTGTGTGTGTATGTGAAATTGTATGTTTGTAAATGCACCCACGACACAGAAGAAAATTCTAGCGTAGGGGCAATGTATTAAAAAAACAAAAAAAAAAAGCTTTTACAAATTACTTTTTTAAAGTCATCAATATTAACTATTTATAATACAGTTGTTGTGTGATTGTAGCCTATGTTTTAGGGAGCAACGCTTAAATCCAATTCCAACATTTTAATTAAAAAAAAATCTTTATCTATGTACATGATGAATTTCTTCTTGTAATTTTTCACATTAGCACTGAAAAATTAACATGATAACAAAAAGGTTGTTATTAAAACAGCCCTGACTTCTCAACTTAACGTGGTGGGGAAATTATCGCCGATATACCTAATACCGTGTAGGTACTTCATTTATGTCACAATAAAGAGAAGGAAATAAAATATTAGGAAGTTTTTGTTTTACGATCTCTGTGCTTTTACGCGGTTTTAGGTTTAAGATTTAGAGCAAACTAGTACTGGTGGTTACTTGTTTAGCCATTAAAAAAATATAACGAGATATTAAAGCATACCGATGACGGGATGCTAGACTACGACAAATACTAAAGATGTAACGACGCTCTTTGCTATAGTTGTAGGCCATGAGGAGTGCGCGCGTGTTTCCCTCTTTCTCTTTCTCTTTCTCTTTCTCTTTCTCTTTCTCTTTCTCTTTCTCTTTCTCTTTCTCTTTCTCTTTCTCTTTCTCTTTCTCTTTCTCTTTCTCTTTCTCTTTCTCTTTCTCTTTCCTCTTTCTCTTTCTCTTTCTCTTTCTCTTTCTCTTTCTCTTTCTCTTTCTCTTTCTCTTTCTCTTTCTCTTTCTCTTTCTCTTTCTCTTTCTCTTTCTCTTTCTCTTTCTCTTTCTCTTTCTCTTTCTCTTTCTCTTTCTCTTTCTCTTTCTCTTTCTCTTTCTCTTTCTCTTTCTCTTTCTCTTTCTCTTTTTCTTTCTCTTTCGCTATCTCTTTCTCTTTCTCTCTCCCCTCATAGAAAGCAAGCCACTTTTCTTTTATTTTCGCATTGAGCACTATGGTGAAGGTTTTTGTTTTAAAAAAATCTACTAAAAAGTATGAAACTATACTAAAATATACATGCGTGTGTGCCTTAAAACTATTCATTTGGTTTTTCTTATAGCTAATTTTCAAGAAACCTCCATTATACGGATAACACAATTCACGCTAACGAAATAGGTTCTATAGTAAAATTTTATTAGGAACTGTGTATCTAATTAACAACTCCAATCACGTACAAATTAACGGACACTGACATTACTCATATTGTAATTGACTTTCTCTTGTTGTGATTAGAATTTATTAATTTTATTTTGTAATTGTGTAATGCGGTAGACTAGAGGTCGTGGTGTCCCGGAGGTTAAGACTCTATTATGTATGTTCAACAGCTTACTCTTGTAGGTACCTGTTTTACGAAATAACGCGACTGGTTTCAGGCTATGCTCAGGGCTCATATTCTTGAGTAGCACTGCTCATGTGTATTGTATGTCGTTAAAAACTATACTTACACAATATATGTATAGTGTTACAGTAATTCACAAACACATTTTGAAATTAATTCATTTTATCCAACAAACTACTTAATAGAGTATTTAAATGTAAAGTTGTATCTATTCACTTGAAATACAAACAATATTATGTTAATTTTCAATCAAAGGCTGTTACTATAAGGTCGTTTATAAGTTTGACCATCAAGTGCTTAGGTCCCTCTGGTCATAACAGACATTGTAATGAAGCTCCATTAAAGTAATTAATAATTCCAAAGTAACCTTTGTCAGCCCTGACAGCGGGTTAAACCGGCATTACGAAATAACTTCTACAAACAAATATGCTCCAATATTCATCTTTATTTTACTAATTTAAGGGCGATATTCCCTTGTGAGGGTTTAAAAATCGGTGACAAGTTTTTCCCGTGGGTGCTAATTGTTTGGTCATGAATGTTTTGGGATTTGTAGTAAATAATGTGGACATTTATAGTAAGTTTTTTTTTGTGAGGGAAAAGTCATCGAATGGTTCCTCTTGCCCAAGTCTAGGCGAGAGGGAGTGTCAGACTCTTACTGACTAAAAACCTCTTACTGGCCGTGTAATGGACCCTGACTCTGGTGATACACAGACATATTGTAAGGTTCACTATTTATTTAAACAAATGGATATAAAATTTTTCACATTAATTTGCATTCAGACTGCAATTAAACATTGTCCAACGAACTTGCGGATAACCCTGGTGTTGCAGATGAGACAACAATTAAAGCCTTTTTTGTGAGGGATAAATCATCAAATGGTTTACCTTACACAAGGTGACGTGAGAGAGAGTGTCAGACTCTTACTGACTAAAAACCCCCCTGTTCCTTCTCCTTCTCTAGGCCGAGGCTGCGGTGCTTTATTGCGCTTGACCCGTAACCCCGGCTGAACATCAGCCCCTTAGGGCCTTGTCTGTTGTGGTCTATTGGCACTTAGAGGCGCGCACGGAACGCTACGCGCCGTACGTTCGAATTTGTCTCTTTTCGGGCAGCGAGCTACCCTTACTCGCCATCCATAGACCCGCGTTTATGGTGGCTTGATCATCTCTCGGGCAATCTAAGCCTTAAGTACAGAACCTTAAAGGCCAAATTTACTATCTTAATGACTCATTAAACACTCAAAGCTACAGACAGCAAGATAAACGGTTAAACAGCTTATGCAAATCTATACAAACCATTGTAAAGGGATTAAATTTGACTGCTTAACTCAATTGGACCCTCCAATTTGAAAAGTTATTTTAGTTAGAAATGTCCATGGACGCTCCGTCCTTCTGTTTCGGTTTTGATTTTATTATAACTGCGTCGCGTTGTATTATTTTGTTTTATTATATTATTTATGTTTATTAAGGAAGGGTGCTAAGTATTACAATAGAATAATCACTGCCACTTCTATTTTTCGACAGAGACTATCGAAAATCCATTTTAATTTTATAATCAAAAAGTTTTAAATTAGTGATTAGAGTCTCCCTTTAAGCAAGTAATGCCTGTGTTAGAAAACTCCGCTTTTCTATAGCAATATACATTTATTGTGTACCTTAAATATAAACATGCCTTATGTTGGTCAATGTGAAAAACCGATGGAATGGGTGAAAAAATTTGCAATAACGTACCGCTGCCTCGGCCTGTCATAGGAGAAGGGTTTAAGTCAGTAGGAGTCTGGCACTCCCTCTCGCCTCAACCAGGGCGAGAGAAGAAGTCATTTAATGATTTCTTACCGTTTAGAAAAAGATAGTCTGTTCGTCTTACTAAGCTTTGTGATTATGGCACACTCCTGACAGACAAAATAAACATTTTTTTTTCTTAGTAGAGGAGGTCTATAGTCCAAAGTGTAAAGTAATATACAAGGCTACAGGTTGTAAGTGAATTGTCACAGATAACACAAACGCACTAGTAACATCTTCGCTGTTCATGGTACCGTCCGTTAGCTAGATAGCTTGTTTCCCACCCTATCACATGACAAACCCCTATTATATCCAATGCTCATAGTTTAGCAGCAGACTCCCATGGGATTTTGGCATTGAACCGGGCATAAAAGAGAAGGAAAACAATAGAAAGAAACGAAAAATATAGCCACACGAGTACATAAAAGTGCCATCTATCGACGTAGCTAGGTAACAAATGCCCCAAGACCCATTATTAATAGAGGTGTGCTGACTCGAACTAATGAACTTGTGAAGTCAATCGAAATGTATAGTCGATCGAGTTGATGCGACGTCTTAATGAGAGTCCATTTTGTATTGTTTTAAATTATCGAATCATTTACTATCGATTACTTAGTGACGTGAGTTAATTAGTGAGCCGATGGAAAATGTGTTTTTACCCGACTGCCAAAGAAGGAGGGTAATGTTTTTCGAGTGTATGTAAGTATGTATGTATGTCTTTTCCTTTGTGACCTCCTGTAGCCTAAACGGCTTGATGGATTTTGATGTATGAGGTATCGTTAGATTTGTCTTGATTACGGGAGTGTCATAGGATACATTTTATCCTAAAAGTCCCACGGGATAAAGACATAATAATATTTTTTCTAAATTTCCCTTTAAATAAAAAATATATTATTAAAAAAACAAAATACCCGACTGCACACTAAAAAAAGAGTAAAACAAGCCCCACAATACAAATTTACTGAATATAATTTATAAATGTTGATGGAAAGCATCGCAGGCGGGGACCACCTTGACCGCCACCAACGAAAATTCTGCTAAATGGTGCACAACAGAAATGACTATAAATAAGCCTCTGTTGGTCCCCGCCTGCGATGCTTTCCATCAACATTTATAAATTATATTCAGTAAATTTGTATTGTGGGGCTTGTTTTACTCTTTTTTTAGTGTGCAGTCGGGTATTTTGTTTTTTTAATAATATATTTTTTATTTAATTAAGTTACGTGATAAGTCGGCAAACGACCAGTCGAATAACCTGATGCCAGCGACGCCCATGAACACCAGAGGGATTAGGATTGGATAGGACTGGGGAGGGGAAGACTCGTGCCTCCGGTAACCTCACTCACACTTAACACAACACCGTGGGGGTTTCATGTCGGTTTTCTGTGAGGCTGTGGTATCATTCCAGTCGAGCCGGCCCATTCGTGCTGGAGCATGGCTGTTCCACGAGTATTTTTGATTGCTAATAAAAAGAGGTCTGATATTATGATGGTAAGGTTAGGTTAAAAATATAGAGATGTGCATCCGTTGCCAATGCTATTTAAATGTCTGCATAGTTGATCCGGTTGATGGTGAACCGGATTTCCGCGTGAAACAATTCTTCGAGTGATCTACAAAATTGTGTTTCATGACAGGCATTAGAAATTGCATATCAGGAGAAAAACCTTGTGTGGAGCAACTAACTTTTTTATTTTTTATTTTGCATTTTTTCAGTAGTTTTTTAACTTGCCTGAAATAGTAGAAATCTTTAAACGGGTTCTAAGTAAATCTAAGCTAGATGTGGTTAACTAGAAGAAGAGAATTTTCTAGCTTATTACTAACAGAAAAAAACACTGAAACTAAACCAGAGGTGACGCTTTCTTTTATTTATTTATTTATTTATTTATTTAAAGGTTCTTCACAGCTTACAAAATTACATTATTACAACTAAAACAGATACTTGATTCATTACGCCAATTATGAGGAACATGTGAAAAAGTAGAATTATATTACAGAAGTGTTGCTACATTTATAAAGAAAGCAGCTATCTATGTCAGTCGATGATGTTACTGTATAAATTATAGGTACATAATGATATTCTTATTGAGTGGATGAGGTTCTGTGGTTGTGTGGTTGTGTTTCTGAGGAGTGTTTTGTGTTTTTATATGGGACATAGTGAAATAAAACAAAATATGTAAGTTGTGATAAGTTGTTCTCATTCATAAAGACTACAAACTGCTGCAGGATCAAGGAACTTCTTTATGACGAAGTGTCAGTAATGCGTCGTCCTTATTATCTTCCAACGACTCTCTGAACGTGTTTATTCGCTCCCCGAGTGACATTGACGAGCAGATCGTCGACGACCCGCCGCGTTCACGCTGCGCATACTAATACCGCTCTCACGCAGATTGCACATTGATACTTGGAGACTCGACTATAGATATTACGACAAGAATGTAGTTGATAGAACAAAATGTATTTTTGTTGGTTTTATAAAATAATTTTCTTATTATTGTGATGATTCTAATCCTGATTGCTGCCGTGGGGAAGGTTGACCAAAATGCATATGTTGCTACACTTAACACTGATACTTGCTTCGCAATTGTTGTCTTAAGTACAACGCATTCTGACAGAGATCAGACACCATGGATCTATGATAGACCCACGGAATAGGATAGACCAGATTTTTTATGCTCTTATTTTTAACTTGCTTGCCGATAATCTTATGACATGGAAAATGCACCCTATTTCATTGAAAGAAATAGGGTGCATTTTTCTTTAAAAAACGTTGCCCCACATAAGAATTTTCTCCTGTGCCGTGGGTGCGGATACAAACATACAATTTCACATACACATGACACCCAGACCTGAAACAACATTTTGTGGATCACACAAAGAATTGTTCCGTGCGGGAATCGAACCCGCGACACGTTGCACGGCAGCCAGTTGTCTATCCACCGCACCGTCAACCGTGCAGTCATTATGAAGAATTCATATTATGAAGTTTCTTGCTGAATCTTCTCCTTCAAACCTTACGGTTTGGGACGAACCTGGCTTCACTGCCAGACTATTCTACGTTGACGTTTCGCCAGCAGTGAACAAACGCTACATATCGTTGGTGATATTTTCTTTTGGGTAGAAATATCAGCGAACCACTTAAATACTGCCATGTGCAAGAGTCAGTCATATTCACCGGCTTCGATTATATAGGTGATGACGATATTATTTCAACATTGGTATGACGATTCGTAGACCTCGATCAAATTTCCGGATTAATCCGGAAAGTATCATGACATCGGCCTGTTCACGGATTGATGTCAAATAATTCGAGTCTGTCCTCTCTTATTGAATGCCGGCCGTAAACGCGGGTCGGAAGTGCACTTGACCGATTTTCGTTATTACCTGCGGGTTAAGTCCCATTTGAGGCAGAAAACGTGATCGTTTTCCGTTAGTTTTCTAGCTTAGTCTGAAAATAAAGGTTATCATTTTTAAGATCTTTACTGTGCTTTTGTAGTCGTTGGCCTCCCAAATACTATGTGATTTGATGATTTAAACCTAACATAAAAATGTCTTCTACGGTTTTAGGCAAAGCCAAAGACAAAATCATTTACTCCAAATAAAATATAAAAATAGAATAGTAGTCTGTCAGTCTGTTCGTCAGTGAAGCTAAGTGCTCATTCCAAATTGTAGATTCGAATGGAGAAGAACGAGCAAGAAACTCCATCGTTACTCTTTTTAAAAAATACTTAATATTTATTTTACAATTTCAATGCAATCTATCATTAAATTTTAATCGTTTGTCGCCTTTGTGCGATAGGGTGGACGAATCGAGCGGAAGCATCACCTGATGGTAAGCAATCGGCGTGGGTATAGACTACACGTAACATCAGAGAAGTTACAAGTTTCAAGCCTATTGGGAGTAGTTAGGAGTTGAAAATTGGGATTTATGGGTAGTATTTAAAATTATTACTCACACGTCATTCCCCAGTCCCCACTGAAATATGAATTAGCGTTTAATAAAATGCCGTTTATCTAGGGGCAAAACATTAAAGGTACAATTTCCTCTCTCCTTTAGAAAAGAGATAACTTTAATAGTAGACGAATTCTAGAGAAACAAATGAAATAATGATCTTATTAAATATTTAGGATATTTTGAAAACATTCGTAAAGGTCACGTTGAAGGTAGAATTACAAGATAAATAAATCGGTCTAATTAGAAGTAGTCATTAATTTTATTGACCAGAGGCCATACTTTTCTTTATTTAAAAATGGAACGTCTATTTTTGTTTCCGAATTCCATAGTTTTTTATAGAGAAAATATTTAAAAAATCGCAGTAAAAAGTAAAACAATTTTTTTGTATAATACCTAAAAAGACAAAGAAAATCACATTTCGAAAAAGAAAACAAACTCTTTGCTTATATTTAAAGTAAAAAAGGCACGTATTTAATTTAATTTTGATCTTTTAAGAAGGTAAAAAGCGCACAACGTTCCACGGTAACGTTCTTTATTTAAAAATGTTTTAAAAGATTCTTTTTTATTTTTAAATTCGTGTTTCGCCGATGAAAAATACAGGGATTATGACGAGAGAAGAGAAACGATGACGTTGTTTGAAAGCACTCGACCTAATTCTGATAAAAATGATATATCCGACGCCTCGGAACGAACCGGATATTTTTATTTTATAAAATAAACCTGAACCTAAAGTCTTGTCTGATCGACGGCTTTAAGTTTAACGGTATTTTATGAATTTGAGGTGTTTTCGATGTCTATGGAAACATCTATGATCCCTTGGTTGTCTCTAAATTGAATTGTCTTTACTTTTCTAGAATGTATGTATGTAAGTATGTTTTATTTTGACGAGACTACTTTTTATTTTCTCTTTGGAAGAGGATTAATGATATATGGATTTAGGGATGAAGGGATGATGTCCAAACCAGGTGTGGTTGGCACGGCAAGCTACTGTCCTACTATTTTGGAATTTTCTAGTAGTGTTATTTTGCTTGCAAACTTTGGTTAGCGGGACTTATTGATGTCATTAGTATTTTTTATCGTATGTGCGTGACAAGTTGGACTTCTTTTCGAATCTTGATTTCAAACCTATTAAAAATCATCTAGTTCTTTCTCCTGCTCCGGGATGGAGTGTTTACTTTTTTTTCTGTCGTAAGTAAAGTCGGCGTGCTAATGGCACGCAGTAATTAGAAACATCATTGTACTTAAGTGTGGGAGAGCCATTCTTAGGCAGGAATGGGTCGGCTCGACCGGAGTGATACCACGGCCTCACAGAAAACCGGCGTGAAACAACCACAGCGTGTGTTTCGCCGTGTGAGTGAGGTTACCGGAGGCCCAATCCTTTCCCTCCCCCAATCCCTCCTCAATCCCTAAATCTCCAAATCCCTAATCCCTAAAAGGTCGGTAACGCACTCGCAACTCCTCCGTTGCGGGTGTCCATGGGCGGCGCTGATTGCTTACCATCAGGTAATCCGTGTGCTCGTTTGCCGACCTATCACATAAAAAAAATCATTGTACTTAGTAAAGTATATCTAGGATACTGATTATAGTACTAAACCTTATCTATTAACACTAAACTCCATATACCCAGTGAGAACAATCGATTTAATTTGATTTACAAGTTACCTTTACAATAGTTTACACATATATTTAATACTTAGAACAGTTTTACTGGACGATATAAACTGTTAAGGAGATAGATTGACAGAATAACATATTTCGATGAAAATGATTGACGGGTTCTCGGGGACAGAGGTCTAGGTGAATAGAGGTCGTCGTGGCCTGTCAATTAAGGCATCTCATTTAGGACCTTAAGCCTGGCAAGTACCGATGACTCTTTCCGAGTTATATTATTTTATCACTCGTCACACATTAAGTGTGGGAGAGGCAAGCTTCGGCACGAATGGGTCGGCTCGACCGGAGTTATACCACGGCCTCACAGAATACCGGCGTGAAACAATCCACAGCGTTGTGTTTCGCCGTGTGAGTGAGGTTACCGGACGCCCAATCCCTCCCTTTCCCCTATCCCTTCCCGATCCTTATATCCGCAACCCCTATCACCAAAAGATCGGCAACGCACTCGTAAATCCTTTGGTGTTACGGGTGGCCATGGGCGGCGCCGATTGCTTACCATGAGGTAACCCGTCTGCTCATTTGCCGACTTATACCATAAAAAAACACTGACAGAATATGAAGAAAACATTGTGAGAAAACTAGGACTTATGATTTGCTAAAAAATAGTTTGATATCGCCAATCTGCTTTGAGCCAGCGTGGTTTTTGATTCTCAAACATTCTCCATTTTAGAAAAGGCCTTTGCTCAGCAATGGATACTAATATGAAACAAATTCTAGGTGGTAAAAAAACATATACTTAAAATCCAAAAACTACTCATAATTTTATTCTTAGACCTAATAATTATTCAGTAATAAGTAAGGTAATCAATAATCCTTACTCTGTAATTTAAGTTGAAAAATAAATCTATAATAAATAGCTAGACGTTTCTAAGTATCGTAATTATATCTACTTATAAATTTATTTTAATTACACAACTTTAATTATTTAAAAATAAAACTAAAAATGTGTTGTGTCTGCGGACGGCGAGTAAGGGTAGCTCACCGCCCGACTAGAACCAGACCCGAGCGTACGGCGCGTAGTGTTCCGCGCGCGCCTCAAAGATCCAATAGACAGCCACAGACGGGGCCCCATAGGGCTGATGTTCAGCCGGGGTTGCGGGGTAAGCGCAATGAGGCACCGCGACCTCGGCCCAGAGCTGGAGAAGAAACAGGGTGGTTTTTAGTCAGTAAGAGTCTGACACTCCCTCCCACCCGACCCTGGGCAGGAGAAGTCATTTGATGATTGTCCCCTCACAAAAAAAAGTATAGAACTCAATAGCGCCTAGCAGATTTTGCCAATTCTTTTTTGCTGTGCTTATTATAGTCAAGATAAAGTTCTTATAAAATAATTATTTTAATTATTTTTAAAATTGGGAAATAGAGAACTTTTCGTCGTAAGCGGAGTAGTTCCATTCCGCGCGAACGATGGTCCCTCTAGTACAAATACAGTTTTCCAACCGCCATCTTTATTATTAACTAGCTAATCACGCGCGGTTTCACCCGCTGCTCGGCTCCATTTAATCGTAGCGTGATGTTTTATAGCCTATAGCACACGGGAAGATTGTAGCTATCTATCAGTGAAAGAATTTTAGAAATCCGACCAGCGGGTCCAACTTCCTACATACAAAGTTACAAACTTACAGACTTACAAATTTTACCTCTTTATAATATTAGTATAGATAATTGAAGTGTACTAGGAAAGCAAAGTCGATATTTGGCTAAACTACATTACACAAAAGAGGTGCATATCCCCATTTTAATAAACATATGACAGAATCCACACGTTTCTGCAATAGAATAAAATCTTACATAATATAAGCCACACTTAACACGTGTAGAGAACCCGCGGGACGTGTCGGAGTACAATGGCAACACACTCTTGACGCGTTTCCATTGTACTCACGGAAACACGAGGCGACGCGACGCACAGATAGGATAGCTCAGGTGTAGTGTCTAGACTAGAATAATGTTAATATGAAGTCTAGATAAAGCAGTGTCGGCTGTAGAAAAATCCTTTCAGGGTTTTTTTTATATGATAGGACGGCGAACTATCAGACAGATTACCTGATGGTAAGCAATCAGCACCGCCTATGGAACAACAGAAGAGTTGTAATACAGTACAAGTATGTCGCCCGACCTTTTGAGGATTAGGGAGTAGGCGATTTTAGGATTGGAGAGGGATTGGCCCAATCCTTCCCGGATTGGGCCTCCGGTAACCTCAATCACACGGCAAAACACAACGCTGTTGAGCTAACCCATTCGTATCGAAGCAAATTTGTTCTTTACTGTTCCTAGAATTAGGATTACGTATGTATGAGTTATTAAGTTGATTATTTTTTCAGATTTGATAACTCTATCATACTCTTTGACATTGAGCCTGTCAAACCGTTTATTTAGTTTGTGTGGTTCATTATTTATATTAATAGTTTGTTATATTAATATATTTAATGGCTAAGTGATATAATTGTTTGACGAGGAACTTGACTTATTTCAACCCACGCTGGGGCCCATAATTTTTAGCGGTCCTTCGTCTTTGAGTGATTACTGGGAGTTTACTTTACGTTGAGGCGATCGACACATTATTACGTTTGGCACTTCGATTAGCCTGCTTCTAGTTAAGCAATTACAGGATAATGTCTGATCCGTTTCCTATTGTGGTCCCTAATCAAATAGTTATGTGACTAAGCCATTAAACATATACTTTTACATGCAAGTTACACAAGAAAACATGTTGCACTATAGGAACGAGATATTTTAAAGAAATAAATAAAAAAAATTTGTTCTTATTCTGTCGCTGCCACTCGGAGGATCGCCTCGTTTTACTTTTCAAGTAATCCAGTATGACGTCATAATCCATGGATGAACAGCATATCCATTTAATAGCTGCATTTCTATGAAAGACATGTTTGTGTGGGTTACATTCACGATGTGATTTTACACGTGTTGAAGTATCTGTACTTCTGTATTTTCTGCACCTAAGTTCAGCGTGACAGTCAGACAGCGTGTAGAGTCACGCGAGCGTGAATGTTAACACGCGCGTAGTGCAATGTGGGAGAATCTTACAAGACATTACTGGATTTCTATTTATAAAAATAACACATATTTATTTGAAAAGAAGATAATGATGTTTAAAGAGGTACACGATATAATTATATTTGATTTTTATTTATTTTTTTCTTTATCTCATAGAATGCTAAAGAATGTAATGGACATCTGCAACACCAAAGGTGTGAGTTGCCGGCCTTTTGGGATTAGGGTTTCGGATATTTAGGGACTGGGGGAGGGAAAGACGGATTGGGCAACTGGTACAACGCTTTGGTTGTTTCACGATTTTCATGTCGGTTTTCTGTGAAGCCCTGGTATGGCTTCGTTTGAGCTTGAGCCGACCCATTCTTGCCGAAGCATGGCTCTCCCACACTTATTTATATTTTAAACACACATATTTTATTAAAGGTATATAAGGCGGACCTAATTAAATACCATTTGGTATTTTCTCCTAGTTACCCTTACAGTTATGTGGAAAGCCAGCGAAACTAGATTCAGGTACAGATATTTACGTATCTAAGTGATGATCGATCCAGAACGATGTTAATATATGTTTTGGTGAACTTGACGGTAGCAGTTGGTGTCGCAAAGATCTCACTCTTATGTAAATTGTTATTTGGTTTTGTGATCTCCGTAAAATAAGTAATTTCTTATGAATTCCGGGGATACTATTAAGTGCGATAAACTTTATCCACATTCCAATCTAATCACAAAATTAATATTATAAAATGTCAGTATTGTCTTGTTTATAAGACCATTTCAGGCTTTCCCAATTTCTGAAATATGAACTGAATAAAACAGTCGTTAGCGTAAACGCGTACTTTGATAAATTCAAAGGATAATAAAAGCCGCTAGCGCCGTCTAGCGCGGTGTGTGAGAATAAGGTGATTTGTCACTCAGTAAAATGTAGTGCCAACGCATTTAGAACTCCTGTAGTTTATGTTGAAAGAAGTTCTGATGTTAGCAGACTTTTTAAGAGTTCTGAAAATTTATTTCACTTTAAAAATAAATCATTTTATTTTTATTCTATTTTACTTTACTTCCTCACAATTTTTTACAGTCAGAAGATGATGTCTAAAACTTTTTTCTATGAAAACTAATAATTTCGGTTTTCGAATGTATTTTTTTTCTAAACGAACCAAATAGGTTAAAAATTAGATACCTACTAATTAAACTGTAGGTACTAAACATAAATAATTATTCTTGCGTACGTAAGAAATATCATAAAAAATAAAAATCATCTAATTACTGACAAAATAATTAATAAAACTTGGCACCCGCTTAAAAATGTGTCAACATCCGACAAAAACAAATTAGTTATATTAACTAATTCTGGCAAGCTCCAGAATTATTTATGATAATTGTCATGATTCTAGGCAGCCATAATTAGTCTGCTATAAATTATAAGAATTAGGCTACAAACATATACATTTGTCACGCGACTCGCGTTTTTTTATGGCATAGGAGATTTGAGGATTGGGCATAGGGGAGAGGAGGGGAGGGGATTGGTCCTCCGGTAAACTCACTCATAAGGCGAAACAGAACGTAAGTGTTGTTTCACTTCAGTTTTCTGAGAGGCCGTGGTATCACTCCGGTCGAGCCAGCCGGCCTATTCGTGCCGAAGCATGGCTCTCCCATACTAACTTATATTGACGTTTTATTAACTGCGTATGATTTGATACGTAGCGACGATTTTGTGCAGTTTCGATGATTTTGAATTAAGTTTTATGACTATACATTTAAATAAAAAAAACTTGAGGAATGAATCTCCCATCAAACAGTGAAGGATTTTTTTTCTTGAAAGTCGATCAAAGAAATATATATTTCAAAAGGTTTATCTTCATGCATGTCAGTCTGTCCGTCTGTTCTATAGTGAAGCTATTGCTCGTTCCAAAGTCTAGAGAAAGATGGTGTGGAGTTCTTAGCCAGTAAAATTTTAACACTTTCTCGCCTCACTTAGGGTGGGAGGAGTTATTCGATGACGCCAAGTTCTCAAAAAAGAGAAAAAATATAAACATTTATAATTCATATTGTCCTTAACAGCTCGTGGATTAGATTCGTCGGTATTGCATTACTTTTAAAGAGATAGAAGATTGCGGGTGCTTGATCAGTGTATATATAATGACAGCCGAACCTGGATAAGACTTAAGTATACATATATTACTGATCTAAACCTAAACCTAAAGCAGTTAGAAAGGAAACTAAGAGACATTAGAACAAAATGTTTACTAATTTAGGCTGGCTAGACAATTGGCTGCCTCGCAACGTGTCACGGGTTCGATTCCCGAACGGAACAAACTCTTTGTGTGATTCACAGATTTTTGTTCCGGGTCACGGTGTAATGTGTATGTGAATTTCCAATCGCACCCACGACGCAGGAGAAAATCCTAGACTGGGGCAACGATAAAAAAATAAAGCACTTAAAGATTTTAAATACTTCAATGATACAAATATACAGTACCTAATGCAGTTTTATCGCACTTAAAATAGTATCAGCTAAATTTGTCCGGGCTATCGTATGTCGTGTTGCGAATGTGTTTTTATCTTTATTCGCTATAATAAAATGTTTGATGGAGAACGACAGTTCATGACGCAGGTCTTGATGGCAGCAGAGCTTTTTCTATAAGTATACATATGTGTTATATATATGTCGGTTTTATAGTAACGTTCGCGTGTCGTATGATATTAATGCTAGATAGGGTCCAGGGGTCCCGGGCCAAGCGCAATGGTACCGTGGCCTCAGCCTACAACAGGGGAAGAAACGGGAGGGTTTTTAGTCAGTAAGAGTCTGACACTCCCTCTCGCCTCACTTCCACTAGACGCCATTGACTAACTATAGATCTAACTATAAGTATACTATCTTTTACCTCATTGTATGCAATTATTATTTTGTGATAGATACCCTTAGTGCTTTTGGTTGTTATTTTAAGCGATAAACCTGTGTTAACTGTTAATACGATAAATAAATAAATAAAAAAAACTATTACGCGCTCGGTCAACACACGTTAACAAAAACATATTTTAATTTTGCTAAGATTTAGGTAAATTTCGTGGTGGTCCGGAGGTTAGGGCGCCAGCTTCTCATGCTTCGAAAACTGCCAAGTACCAATGTGTCTTGTTAAGATAACATGTTATTTCTATGATGATTATTTAGACACCACTGACATACGGTGAAGAAAAACAACGTGAGGAAACCTGGACCTACGATTTCTAATTATAAGTTTGAAATCGCCAATCCGCCTTGAGCAAGCGTGGTGGTTAATGCTTAAACGTTCTCCGCGTGAGAAGAGGCCTTTACTCAGCAGTGGACTCTTATAGGATTATGAAGTGATGTGATGTGATGTGAAGAATTAAATTTACAAGCGTAGTGTTAGATTTGACAGTTGCATCACGAGCTATTCGAAAACAGTTCTTACACTGACAACAGAAAGACGATTTGCCTAAAGCTTTAATTATTCATGAAGACGTGATACTTCAGTGACATGTCTATGTAAGAACACCGTGGGCGGTCTCCTCCTCTCTATCTTCAGATTGACAGCTACAATAATAAACAAAGCTCTTTTATAACTGCCATAAAACTTTAATTACAGATCACCAACACAAATGTATCGCAAAGAATCTGAATTTACTGCCAATAAAATTGTGCAAAGAAAAATATTAACGTATTAATTCTGTCTTAGGCGGGGTGTAGATAAGCGCGTTCTTTTTTCAAAATTTGCTCTAGTGACTGGCTGGTTGTAATTTATTTTCGAAATATTGATGTGTGATTCCATTAAGATTATAGAGAAGTATTAATATAGTAGCAAATACTCTATCTGGTAAAAGCAGAAGAAAAAAGTTGAAATAAAAAAGGTAATACAGCTGTTTATCCTCTCTTCAGAATAAAAACCCGTCGACTATATGCTATAACGCATTCTATCCTATTTGGGCCACACAGTGCGCAGAGACGATGAAAGTCTGGAAAAACTGATTGTCGCTGGTAACACCGAAGGCACGATCGCGTGGTCGCTCCGGAATCCTTCGCGGCAGTGAGAGATAGGCTGGATCGATTCCGGTGGATCATCCACTACAGATGTTACCTCGATGCTGACCATGATGATCCTCAGATATGAGGGACCGACTATAAGAAGTCCGCCCTCCACAAATATTATCAATTAGCTGCTCTTGCGCAGTTTTACCCGTTGCTTCAGATCCTAGCGTGTTATTTTATAGCCTTCCCCAATAAATGGACTAAAGTCTCAAAATCTTCTGCTTTTTAATATAAAAGTTTAGATTAATACAACTAAAAAGTCTCACTGACTGTCTCTGAAGAACAGTCAACAAATCTGCGGTTCAAGCAAAATTGAAATATTATTTCTCAGATAAAATCGTCTGTAAACATTCAGCCTAAATTTCAACCTCACAAAACAGATGGACTCCGTCGTACATCCAAGTTGATTGGTCATCGTCTTGTTTTAATTATATTATCTTAGCACCGACGTTAATGTCTTAAGAAATTAACACTTTTTTATACAAAGTGGAATTTTATAATAAAACCTGTTGCGTCATATTATTATGGGAAGATTTCGTTTGCGTCAATGTCTTGGAATTGTGGTTTATTTATGGACAGGATTGTGGTTACCGAGGTTTTCTTAAAGACCACAATGTTGAAACTGCATTATTTGATATTATTTAAAAAATAACTTATATACTTTGCGAGTTTTTTTGCGTGCGTCACTATTGGTGTTAGACAAGACCCTAGGCTAGCTAGGGTGAGACGTAAGCTTACTGCCACACTCATTTATTTAATGTTAGTGAGCCTTACGAAAATGTAAGAAAAATTATAGTTATACTTATATTATGGCAATTTTTTTCTCAAATTCCTCGAGCGAGTGTAGAGACATATAGAGAGAGAGATAGAGAGAGAGAGAGAGAGAGTGAGAGAGAGAGAGAGTAAGAGAGAGAGAGAGAGAGAGAGAGAGAGAGGGGGGGGGGGAGAGGGAGAGAGAGAGAGAAAGAGACTTTGGTCTCTCGAAGTGATGGTAGGTAGGGAGTGATGCACGATAAAAAAAAAGTTTGTAACTATTAACTTATTTATAACTTCATTATAATTCAAAATCAACAGCCAGTCCAGCAACATTACTTATAGCTAACCAGCTCAATAAAGCAGGAAGCGTGAACACCATAAATTCAACAAGATGGCGACGGCATTACACAAAATGGTGGCTAACTATTAACAGAGAACATTAAGAGTACGTGTTCCAAATAATTATGGTTCGTTATCAATTAATTTGGAAGCTCATTAATTAAATGCATTGTTGTATTTGCTTGTTATAAATAAAAGGTCAGTTCGTATGTGGAGGTGTGGCAGACCATCTATTCTAATATTATAAAGAGGTAAAATTGTAAGTTTGTACATATGCAGATATGCAGAAGGTAATCATTGGAAGCGCTGGTCGGATTGCCAAAATTCTTTTACTGATAGGTAGCTACAATGTGCCTGAGTGCTATAGGCTACGATCAAATGGAGACGAGCAGCGAAAACGCGTGAGAATAGCTAGTATTATATGAATTCGAAATATATTTATTAATCATAGTGTGATTTATTTGTTGTATTTGTATGATGATGTAGAAAAAAAAGAGGTTTTATATCAAGCAATGCTTCAGAACTGAAGCATTGCTTGAAATAAAACTTTTTGCCCCATTGAAATAAAACCACTTATTGCCCCACTGTGTAGTCCACTGTGTAGTAAAGGATAGGATAGGAGTGGGTACACAATACAAATTAACGGATATATATAACGATAATAACAAAAAAAAGGATTATTTTCGTTTAGAGAAGTGAATATTAACCAGGTTTCAAACTTATGATGACATATTTTAAATATTATTTTTCAATATTCTTCACTTTTTATTTTATTTCTCTTGTGAGATGTAGGCTTATCACTGGCTGCTCGTAATTTAAAAAGGTTTAAATTACGAGCTAAGGATTTAGGTATTCGAAATTGAAAGGCATTCAAGGCAACGAAATCATTTTTAAAAACAGTAATGAAGCCAAAAGTAACTTCTACGAGCCTAGCTTAACCCTTCATTCGTCATGCGAAAGTGCAAATACTTTCACCATAAAAAAATTGCACACCAACTCACGTGGATCAGATAAGCAAATTATTCAGAAATTTCGCATTGACTTAACTGAAAAACTGTTCATTATTCAAGATTAAGTCTGTATGCATGAACGGAATAAGTTATGAGGAGTATTGTGCAATATATACATATATAAATATATGTATGTGTGTTGGTATTTGACGTGGCCTTGTCACGTGCACCTCTGCCCTTACACGTCATGTTTACAGGAATAGTCGACGCATTTTAATTGCTTACTTACTTTAAGATTTAGGGCTTGAACACACTGAGTATGTTTCTAGCTAGGCCAGTGTTGGAGAGCCAAGCTTCGGCACGAATCGGTCGACTCGACCGGAGTGATACTACGGCCTCGCATAAAATCGACGTGAGACCACAGCGTTTGTTTTGCCATGTTAGTGAGGTAACTGCAGGCCCAATCCTTCCCCTCACCAATCCTTAAACATCCGAAACCTTAATAACCAAAAAGCCAGCAACGCATTCGTAACTCCTTTGGTCGTAACACCAAAGTAGTTACGAATGCGTTGCTGACCATGTTTGGTGTCGATGATTGCTTACCCCAAGGTAATCCTAAGCTAGTTCTCCGACTTATCCCATAAAAATGAATTTGTTCGTCATATGTAAGACAAACGCCCAACGCGGCGTGCAAAGAGTTGCTTCTCCGTAAATTAAGCCTTAGTTTCGTCGTCAGCTGACGTTGTATTTTTCCGTTTGGGTTGTATAGGCCCGCGTTTGATCGCTATCTAAATGATGTGAGGCTATACTCGTAGTGCGGTTACACATACTCAAATAGGGACATTCACTTCTGTATGGTAAACAATGTACAAACTTATATGATAGTTACTATTCACATAGTGAGTTTTTGTTTGAGGAATATTTGGCCAATGCGTGTGGAGCTTTCTGGATAGAGTATTTTCTGCTATTGATCATTTAAAAAAAATATTACCTCCCAAATCCTCAACCCACCAACGGGTTAGCAATGTACATATTACTTCACGATGTTGTAGGTGTCTAAAGATGGTAGCGATTGTTCACCATCAATTTGGCCTGTCCACGTAAGATTTGCTTAAAGCCTAATTTTTCAAAGGTTAGATAAATGTTACCTGGCGAATAATTATGATGCTGCCGCGTCGGTCAATGTTTGCATAAGATAAGACAGTGACAGCAACAATTTTATTCCTCAGACAACATTTATCTGACTTTTGAAAGTTCAGCCCTTAAAAATACATATAACTGTTTGTGAAATGATGCTAAGGAGGTTTATTAGAACGTAGTAAGAATGTGTATGAAATCAGGAATTTGAAATTTTATACAGAAACAATACAATGATACAGCCGTATAGCTAGAGAGATATCTTAAACAGGTAATGCTAATCTGGGCCCAAGGGTTAAGTAAGATTATATGTACATGTTTACCGCACCCATATAACTCGACCCATTTCAAAATTCTAATGGGACGATTATTTTTTTAAAGTAAAAATCACCAGGAAAGTAAAAGGCTTATGGAGATTATCTCCTAAATCCTTATTCACCTTTTAAAATCTATTTGTAGCTCAGACCGGCCTTTTGAGGGGACCATATTGGATTTTGTTAATTATTTATAAAACCTGATACGTGCCTTACGCTCTTGTAATTGTTACATTTCACAAAAGGTTCGTCGGATAAAAGGTTCGGTAAAAAAGGCATTCAATATTGTAAAATATTTCGTTGATTTCGATTGGCCAGTTGCGCAGTAGTATATTGAAGTGAATGAATTGTCGACTAAAACGAATGATCACGCACGATATTTTCTATGAATATGCATACTAAAATAGAGCAATTTATTAAAGTTCTTCTAAAATTGTTTCTTTTTTAATCAGCTTTAACTGGTTTTGGTTCAATGAGTTGGCATATCGTTGGACCAAACCAAGCCAAGATGTGTGAAGCTAGTATACTACCATAGATGGGGCCTTAGGACCGATGTTCAACCGATGTTGCGGGACAAGGCCAAGAAGGAAAGGTTTTTAGTCAGTAAAACACTCGCTCACGCCTCTCCATGGGCGGGAGAAGTCATTTGATGATTTTCCCCCTCAAAACAAAAGAAAAATATGTTTGGACAAATATAATATCAAGCCTAATGAGGTAAAAAATATGTATTCTTCCTTTGTTTAATAGTATTTCCATTTTAAAATCATTAGATAGGTACTACTACTATTCCAATTTTATTACAAACAAACTAAAAATTCTATAACCCCTACAAGATTAGCTCAAACGTAAAATAATTACGACGTATTCGTTTTTGTAGACTTTAAAATAAGAATTTACCTAAACAATAACAACATTCTAAATCATTGAGACATTTTAGTTAAACAAAACTCAAAAACAAAAGCCGACTTCGCGGTTCGACGTTCGAAAAAGATGGCCACTGGAAAATGGCGTCGAATAAATTTTAATTAGTCGCTGTCAAGTAGGAGATGTTTTTAAATAATTATTTCACGTATAATGCAAATTGTTTAAAATGTATTCTTATGAGGAAATAATGTGTAAAGACCGATGGTATTGTATTGTTTGGAAAATATGATTTTACTCGGTTGACGTTTCGTGTCGTATTGTCTTAAGCGTTGGATGTTATCGGAGTTCCTTAGTCTAAGAGGATCTCTTAATAAGATTGTATAATGTATATTCGATAAATTCTAATTAGGTATACTCAGTTTCCACTATCATCTCAGTGCCTTCACAGAGTTCTTGAATACTTTGGTCACATTGCAAGGAAAGATATAACAACCTGGAAAGACTTTTTGACTGGAAGAGTTGACGGTAAAAGTGGCCGTAGTCGCAGTGCAATACGTTGGTCCAATCAGATTTGCACTGTCTCTCAGAATAAGAAAAAAAGAGGTTTTATTTCAAGCAGTGGGGTTGCTTGAAATATTTTTTGCTTGAATATTTTTTTCAAAATCTGTTCAGTTGACTGGCCAGTCGCAGTCGCAGTGCAATACGTTGGTCCAATCAAATTTGCACTGTCTCTCAGAATACCTGCGTGAAGTAACACTTTACTAGGGGCCCAGTCTTTCCTCGTTCGCAGTTCGTATTTCTTATTTATATAATCCTCAAATCCCCTATCCTGAAATCCCTAATAACTAACAATGCACTAATTGTTTCTCTTGTGGAATTAATTATGAGTGTCCGGGCGGCGCCGATTGCTCACCATCAGGAAATCCGTCTGCTCGTTTGCCAAGCCATGCTTTAAAAAGACTGCTTTAGATTCCACTTTCTACAATGTCCTCCACAGGCCAGGGATAGAATAAGATGGAGAAAGATCGTGCGGGAGAAAGTGACGCAAAAGGGTGGTCACGACCCTCAGCAATATGAAATGCGAAGTAAGGAGGATACATAATTTTTCCAAATAATTTAGGGTTTGTACAAATTCTTCATATTATATAGGTCGTATTTTTGTTGTGGGTTTACATAAAACAAATGCCTTAAACTGCTGTCTGGTCGAAGTATATTCGGAGCCAATTTTTTTATTCTTTTGTAGAATATCTACGACTTACTAAAATAATAAATTGAAGGTGTCACTAGAAACTCGGTGATAACCAGTCACCCTTATCAAAGTCCACCTGGGAAACGCCAGTCGAAAAACTGCAGATCTCGTCTAGACCAAAGATTTTTTTTTTTAATTTTGTTTACAAAGAAATCAGGACTTCCTTTTCATTTTAAAAGATACGGAATCCTTTGAACATTTAGTATTTAAAAAAAATATGCTTATTATCATAATATTAATACCTAAAATTTCGGTTTTATTTCGTTTCAACATTGTCTAACAGAGTTTTGAAGTAAATATGAATAATTGGCGTAACCAATGTTCTAATTGGACAGCGTGACATGGAACATCTATAGGTCCTTGACATACTATGCTATATGCTATCTTGTTAACAGACTTTTTTAATATATAAATTAAAGATAATAAAATCTTAGCTGTTTATACATATGTATGATTTAGTTTTGATACCACGGCTTCACAGTAAACCGGCGTGAAACAATCACAGACAGGGTTTCCCAGTGTGAGTGAGGTTGCCAGAGGCCCTATCTTCTCCCCCCCAAACCCCAAATCGCCAAATCCCTAAAACCAAAAAGGTCGGCAACGCACTCGTTACTCCTGTTGGTACGATCAGGTAACTGTCTGAAAAAAAATTACTTAATTATTAATTTTATTTGTTAGAGACAACATTCATATACATATACATTATAAATTTTAATAATGTACACAGTCATTACAAACCAAAATGCAATTGGAGTTCACCTAAGTGATTGTTACACTATTGTAATCTGTTTTATGTGATGTTACCTTTAGCACAATACCAAATTAAACAATTTTTGGTGAATAAATGAATAAACAAAAAATGGATATAACAAAACGTTATTTACCAATTAACAAAAACAGAGAAACATAGAAAATTATGGTAGTAAGGATAATCAATTATGCTTATCAATAGAACAAAATATCTAACCTTTTTAATAGAAGAAGTTGTTAGGTAAATACCACGAAATATAGTTGAAAAAAAATATCATTAAGAGGTCTTTAGTATCACTTCGGTCGAGCCGGCCATTTGTGGCGAAGCATGGCTCTCCTACACTCTAGCTTATACCTATACTACATACGAGCACTCCTTACAACACAGTAACTAAAATAACAGCATCAACTATTGATAGGTTTTGCGACGAGTTCCAGGAATCGATTCTTGGAGCTCAAGAAGTTATAAAAATAGAACAAACAATAAACTTAGTTCCCAAGATGGGTTATAGAAGAATTTTGTAAAGTTGGAAACTAGCTTTTCTATGGCTTGTATTAACTTTTATTGAATTAGTTTGCTGGTGTTATTAAACTGGTTAATTGCTAGAGTTAGGCAGAGTATTATCGAGGCTTACCTCACTGTCAAATAATTATCCGTTATAAAAAGTGAGTTACATAGGTGTGTGTGTGTGTGTGTGTGTGTGTGTGTGTGTGTGTTTGTTTGTGTGTTTGTTTGTGTTATATTATCTATACTATATTATCTATACTTCTATAATTTTATATTATATATATATATATATATATTTAAATTAATTATATTTATATATATAAATTATATATTATATTATCTATACTTCTATAAAAGGACTTCATTGTTTGTTCGTACATTGTCGGTCAGCTACGCTATCCTCATGAAACATGACTAGGGGCAAAACTAGTGTTAAATAAGTGCATTCTGAATTCTCGTTATCCACAACATTTTCTTACAAACAAGCTTCAATGAGCATCACGGAGATTATTTTTAAAAGCATTATTTCAAAATATACGGCGGTAGGTACAGTCAGCGACGAAAGTAGGTCAACATAGTCCAGAGTTGTCTAAAATGTTTAATACGTGATACTCGTTAACCTGTTGTTAAAGGTCAAAGTAATAGTCTTAAAGGAACGTAATTTTGTGGACTTTTAAAGTTGACTTTGTTTTTATCTTTAGGTAACAAGTGACATGTTTATTGTAAGTAAAATGGATCTCCAAACTGCGTGGCTTTGTTATTGAGCTTTGTTAGTACCGAAACTTATTGAACTTAACAATTGAGTTCTTGTGATCAGTATTTTAACTTATTACCTGATTATAAAAGACACGAAAATTCGATCTTTGAAATTTTTGTTTCTATTAAGGCAACATTTTGATTACTTACATACCTATAAACTGCCAATTAATTTTTGTCGTTAATTATACTCTTCTATTACCATAGTTCAACAGATAAAATGGTATGATCATGATTATACTTAGATGAGGCTGAGAGTAAAGTATTAAAAGAGAAAATCTTACTAATTGTGTAGCTTGTTTCTCGGGTCTGTGATTTTTTTAGTAAACGGGCGGACGGATTCCCTGTTGGTAAGTAATCGGTGCCGCCCATGGACATCTGCAACAACAGAAGAGTTGCATGTGCGTGTTATGGGGATTCAAGGATTGGGGCCTTGTAGAAACCCAGGTATTCTAGGCCTCCGAGAATCTGAATGTTAGTACAAAGTTATACCATTGTCTGGACTAACACATACATAGGCTATATTTTTACCCTGGTGCTGTGAACAAAGTCGTTATAAGGAGATAATGTGTAATTAAATTAGTGTCTTATGTTAGTTACTATACAATATAATTTGCATTGAACCTAATTCTTGGTACCCTATGAATCATATATATTCCATATGAACATTACTATTATATGGATTATGTTTGCTTGCGAGGGAAATTAGATCGCCTATTACTTGTTATAACAAGTCATTAAGTCATATTACCCCTTGATGGCGAAATCAATAGTTTTGCATGTTTAACCATTATGGATTGTTTTCCTTTTCTAGGTTGATTCTTTAGTTCTATTATTCTAGAGCAAATATATTTTAAATATCCGTTTTAATTTGGTAAATAATCACTATTTAGTACAAAACAAAGTCGCTTTCTCTGTCCTTATATACCTTTGTGTGCTAAAATGTTTAATACTACGCAACGGATTTTGATGCGATTTTCTCATAGATAGAGTGATTAAAGAAGAAGGTTTATATGTATAATAACATTCATTAAATATTGGAGAA